ATTTATACAGATATATAATTCCTAAATTTATCAGTTATGAGTTTGAAACTTCACGCACTGCTCATTTCAATAAAACTGATGGTTTAAAGAGTATACGGATGTTTCCAATTACTATTTTATTTTCACAAAAAATGGAATCTCTTCCTTTGACTAAACTGCTATGTCTGCTATGTTCGTTTGTCGACGTTTGTATATAAAACTCGATATCCAAGTCCATTCATTTGTTTTCTTAAGCCTAAAGAATTAGCTGACGAAGATAAAATAAATGATGATCTCGCGCTGACTCACATCCTAGATTAAAGCCTCACGTCATCACTGTATTGTGTCACAGGCATTGCACGTCGAAATTGTGAAATTCAACTATGATGTTTGAGTTCAAATATTTTCACCGCAAATATCACGTACGTTGATGATATGCTCGGTCAGAATCTTGACTAAACATCGAATAGAATTAGTCATGTATCGTTCACTCAATTAGTAGCTGCATGGGGATTTAAATTTAATTGATGATTTGATGTATTTGTGCGGGCGGTGTGAATGAATTAAAAATTATTTTTAATTCATTTTGCAGACGTAAAATTGCGAACAAATCTGTAAACTTTTGTATAGATCTAATTTTAAGAGCTTCATTTAAAACAAAAGTGAAGTTTCAAGCTAGAAGGGCTGTCCTGTGCGTAAAGTGCAATCTTGATCAATTTAATAGTGCTATATAAAATATTGCATTATTAGTGCGGTATAAAAAGGGTTGGCTTCATTCTAGTGCATGACGTCCGGAGATACGGATTGCATCCGGAACAGAAGCGCATTGAAATTATTCTTGTCTATAATTCATAATTATATGTCCTTGTGTGAATGATAAGCCAGCCGCTTGATCTCGAATGAGTCTTATCAGTAGAGATTAAAGTCTTGTACTTGTTCTTACCATAGTCACGTGTTATCTTTAGGGCTGAATAGCCTACTTTGTTCCTAGTAAATTTAAATGAAAGTTTATCGGGATTTGAGTATGAAAACAACGAAGTGGTTCTTAATGTTTTTCCAACTCTATATAATTAACTAACTCTTACTATATAGGCTAGAATATCTCCAATAGTAACTATTGAAGATTGGAATTGCTTTAATAACTAGCTATTCAATTACCAAATAACTCTAATAATATTAAAGTGAGAAAAAATCATGTTGGTTCTGAAACCAGGTCTTGCTTGTATGAATATTTATAACTTAAAACGATGCACTAAGTTACAGCCTATAGCAGTGGGGACTAATGATCGGTCTTTTATCAATGGTGTTTATCTGTCTTGTGTTTTTTATTTAGCTTCACTGCACAGCAGAGCCTGCAGACGCTGTCTGCGTCCGGTCTTGAAAACCCTGTTCTTTTATCTAGAAAATGCACTCAAAGGAATGGGTCACATTGTCCAATAATGACACACTTTCTCACTAAAAACACATTCAGGAAGCTGACGTAGCACTGATACGTGTTTACTCAAGCAAAACTTGATCAGTATTACCCACACAGGGGTAAAAGTGCTTGACTATTTGGACAAGACACCTCTTATTTTTCTGAGTGTGCTAAGCAACAAAGCGAGCCATTTTGTCTAGTGTTTTATTACACTGTCGCTTTAGATTGCACCTTTCTAACCGCCTGCATTCTGGTTATGGTCTGTTCTGTAGTTCTTGGTTTGCGTTATTGGAAGAATGGTGGTCATAATGGATGTCTTAATTTATTAATCTATAATTCTAATGAATAGTTTATTAATCCATAATTCTAATGAATTAATCACTGCTAGAATTCATTTCGCGCAGTTTAACTATATCTATCAGTACTGGTACAAACGGAATACAAATTGAGGCTATGGTATTCGGACTTAGTCTAATATACCTAATCCAATATAACGTTTAAAGAGTTTTGTAGTTAATGAAGAGCAAATCTGGTTAATTATAATCATATCATGCTTTACCTTGAAAGTAACTTTGATTCTATATTTTTAGTTAGCTCATTGCCCGAATATATTTTCTTTGGATTGTCATCATTCGAAAAAATTGTTTCACTGCCTAAGTGATTCATCCATAACCATGTACAAACAATTTCTCCCCGTTGCTTCTCTGCTGCTGGTCACAGTCTGGCGTCATGCTATGTGAGTCAGCGTCGCATGTGACACCACTCACGCTACTTATGCATGCGTCACGCCACACGTCCATGCGTCACGCCACTCGTCCATGCGTCGCGCCACTCGTCCATGCGTCGCGCCACTCGTCCATGCGTCATCCATGCGTCACGCCACTCGTCCATGCGTCACGCCACTCGTCCATGCGTCACGCCACTCGTCCATGCGTCACGCCACTCGTCCATGCGTCACGCCACTCGTCCATGCGCCACGTCACTCATCCATGCGTCACGTCACTCATCCATGCGTCACGTCACTCATCCATGCGTCACGCCACTCATCCATGCGTCACGTCACTCGTCCATGCGTCACGTCACTCGTCCATGCGTCACGCCACTCGTCCATGCGTCACGCCACTCGTCCATGCGCCACGTCACTCATCCATGCGTTACGCCACTCATCCATGCGTCGCGCCACTCATCCATGCGTCACGCCACTCATCCATGCGTCACGCCACTCATCCATGCGTCACGCCACTCATCCATGCGTCACGTCACTCGTACATGCGTCGCGCCACTCATCCATGCGTCACGTCACTCATCCATGCGTCACGCCACTCATCCATGCGTCGCGCCACTCGTCCATGCGTCACGCCACTCGATCATCCATGCGTCATGAGACCGGAACGTGACTGCAGTATACATGCTGCAGGTCGTCTGGCTGTTATGATAAAAGAATTACTATATCTAAGCTGGTATGATTAACGCTGATGGTAAGTCCCGATTTAAGCTGGTGTAATTAACTGGGTGTTTACTATTAAGAGGCGTGATTATTCTATCAGATGTTGGCGTTAATCTGTTAATCTGAACAATTCTCTCATGAACTTGCTAAGGTTTTGTGGAAATTGATGTACATTTTTTATTGTATGACTTAAATTTTTGCTGCATTGTTAATTAGATGCACTTTGTGTTTATTAACTTAATGAACAAATAGTACGAACTAACCTTGTCCAGTCCTGCAATTAACGTACGGTCTCCTAGTTCAGTTTTTTTTCTAGACTACAGGCTTGTTAAGATTTTTTCAGAAATTATCTTGACTCACACAAACGAAAGTTTTGTATGTGTTGTGCTGATCAACATACACATACATACACAAAAACAAGTACTCACTAATTCGGAATGTTAATATCGTTTAAAAATAATTTCGAATGAAAAATCTAACAGCCGAACACCGGCACACTTCGCTCTCAAACGCACTCCACGAGAATTATCTAAATTTCGACCATCGTCAAAATCAGGAACATTTCAACGAACATTTCGATCCTTGTGCACTTAATTTAATTACAAAATTAAGTCAATTTAATTTACACTGTAGTCTGTCAGCTGATTTTATGTGTAGTTTATTTAACGAATATCCACTAGTAACGTTATAACGCTTGATGTATTACATTTTCAGATAGAAATACCATTAGAACAAGTGGACATGTTTTTTTTCTCGACTGAGAGACGTATCGACTATATGGAAGTTTTATATAAAAAGAACTACGTCAAATGTCAATACAAAGTATGCTCTTGAATAACTTGTTACACTAGACACTCAAAAAAAGAACGAGTGAGTCCGGACTGCTCACTCATGTGCGTCCAGCGCTCGTCTAGAAAGCAATGCACTCGACTGAGTCTTCCTGACTCGCTGTCGCTTCAGGGTTCCTCATAAAGTATTGAGAGTTGAATACAAAGTGCCTTTGTGATTCCATAATGAATTGCAATGGCACTTTGAAGTGCAAGTCTTTCTGTACAAACGCTGGACTCTACCAACCAAGTCTAAACCTTAATTTTTGATTATATCTTTAATATTCGTTGACATTTCAACATTATTAGATTTCGGGAAAGTATTTGTCGTTGGAAGTATCGAATTCCTTGTATTTAGTTAACACACCCGTGTTTTAAGCACGATCTAACTAATCTTAAAAATTTTCTTCGAGCATCAGTCGCACTTTCATACCTTTTAAATGTGTAGTCACTCGAGAAAATTATCTTCAATAAAGCAGATCGGCCAATAATAATACCAGCGTTGTCTCTTAATTAACTACCGTAGGCACGATGTCAGCGCTCGCTAGCGACCTCGCGGTTGTCGGCTCTGCCTTTCACTCGCCAGAACGCTTGTCTGTCCATTCATTTTCCCCAGCCTGGCTACTGCAACCCGTGGCCTGCTTACCATTTCCTCGATTCCCCTGAGACTGTCACCTGCTCTTGTCTATTTCTGCGCGATGTTTGTTTTTGAACTAATGATTCAGGATAGTACGAAACTTTATCTAATGAAAGTTTAGTATTCCTTCAAAGCCTGTTAATTTGTGAAAAAAACTAGAGATGTGAGTTAATTATTGTATTCAATCTGCTCTATGCGTTATGAGCGAAAGTATCGTGCTACATTCTTGATTTCAAAGCTCATAAATTTTAGGAAAGACTTGCATTATAATCTTCACAAAACAGTATTTTTGTCGTACATCAGTATTGGTTGGAGACACGAAAATGAGTAATATAGTCGTAAATGTGCATCAGCAGAACGCAGTACACTGCGTGTGTTAAGGTCTACATGCACATGTGTACGTGTGCATGTGTCTACATGTACATTATAATGTACACGCAGCACAGGTGTCAGGCGTGTCACACTCACAGCTGTTGTTGCTGCCAGACGAGTCTTGGTAATGTTTCAGACTATATTTTTGCTTTTCATGGACTTGAAGTCTTTATTAGTACCTACAGCTTTATATGATTTTTTTTCTGTCGATTATATTTTAATTTTTTTCACAAGTGTTTCGGTTTTGAATTATGTGTCACCTGTACCTGTTCTCTTTAAAATTTAATTCTCATTGATGTGATATGTTACATTTCAGAACTTTATTCCAAGTGATGGGATCTAGTCACTCGTACAGTATCTTGTGGTAGAGTCGAATAAACAATCTTCTAATTTCATTTGACTTTGTCAGAACTGAATATATTTAATAAAAATCCTAAAAACTTTTTTTAATATCTTTAGTCACAAAAAGAAACATCATTCGAAGAAAGTTCATAAGTCTACTTGAACTTCCATAAACAAGCCCGGGATAAATTAAATTGAAGTATAAGAAGGCGCATTGATTATCTTCGTTCTTAGTCATGCCTGTGAATGCAGTGTCTGCAGCTGCAGCTTCTACTGTAGCCCCCATCGTCCGACGCTCCACTCCTGCTGTGAGTATGAAAAATATATCGTGTTATACAAATATCGTGAACAAGATATCGTGTTATATAAATATCGTGAAAAATATCGTGTTTTATAAATATCGTGAAAAATATATCGTGTTATATAAATATCATGAACAATATATCGTGTTATCTTGCCACCCCTGGTGGAGTTTGGTCTCCCAGTCGTATATATTTGTAAGTTTGTAACTGTTGCTTTTTTTACCGCTTGCACTCTAAGGCATTGATTTGCTGGATCATGCGTTTATATAGATAGAAAATTGGAATAGGGAAGGATAGTGAATAGAGGACATTAAGTTTTTTATACAAAAATGTAAACGGGGATGCCGTGATACCATGGGTTCCGATTTTAACTTGGTGGGGTAGAATTCGAAAATTGACCCTAAAACATATATATCTATCACAAACTCAGTCATTTTTATCATCATCGTCGAGTTTCTCCGCAGTGTCATAATGTCATCAAGACCATATTATCCTGAGGGCTAAATCGTTTGCATCCTACCATCATATTCTTCTTTACAGTCATCATTATAAAGTCCCTCTTTTATCACCATCGCCTCTGCATCATCACAAAAGCAATCATTTTGACGTCCATCATAACAACCAATTAATGGTAGACAAATTATAATCCTTATCTTTAGTCTTTAATTAAAATCTACACGTCTCTATACGATATTATCTTGGACGAATGTTCGCTTCTTACATCGTCTTAAAGTAAATACATCCGAGAATATAAAGGACGGTTCAAAGTGTATTCGAAACGTTCCATAGGACAGATTATTACTTAGGAAACATTCAGACAATGAGAAGTAAATTAGCATCACTACGAAATAGTGTACAAATAATTAGTTGTGGCCCTGTTGTCGTAAATATAGTTTTTCGTACGTCATATAGCGACCTAATTGACTCGCCCTTGAAAGAGGTGAATATTATACCGGACGTTCTTCGCGGAATTGCGCGCCTGCAACATATATATACACCGTCGTCATCACTGCCATTTTCATCATCATAACACCACAATCATCACCGCCATCATCGTCAATGTCGTCACCACTTGTCACATCCTCCCGCCACCACAGCTTGCGGTGCTAGGTTTCTCCGGCCTTGACCGTGAGTTTGGCTTCATGTGTCTGAAGCCATGGCATGCAGCTGATGCTCAGCGACATCAAATGAAAGATGTTTGTTGAAAAAAGTGTTTTTTTTTGTATTACTATTTAGCATTATAATTTGCACTGTGAAAAACCCTACGTTTATTGTCGAAAACTTGTGACTCGGATGTTTTTTCATTTCGATGCTATGACACGTTGTTCTCTTTCTTAGCCAAGAGTAATGAAAAAGAGACGAGGTTGTAAACCAGAATTTGATTCTCATGAATCCAAGAATTCCCTGGTGTACCGCAAGTCAAGAGGCAATATTGAACGAAGTCGTGCACTTCGAATAATTCTAATTCAAATAAATGGCGATATAAATTGTAGAATTTCTTTGTTCTGTACATAAGTATTTCAAATAACCTAATTCAATGATTTTTTTGGGATGCATCATGATTATATATATATATCATATATATTAACAAAAGTGATAATCCGATTAACGAATCGTGCTTGTATTATAGTATTATACATAGAGCATGTGCAGTTGAATCCAGGTTTGAGAGCTTCATTAATCTAGTTTCAATGCTTATTTCTTGAACTAATTAAGCAATAGTTAATGAATAAATTAAGGGTTGACACAATTTCTCATCAGCAAAATAACAGCTTATACGTACTGAATCTGTGTGCACTATACATTAATATATTAAGACACACTTATATACACTGCCTTGTGCAAGAGGTAACCCAAATCGACGAACTACTTCTTTTCATCCTAACTTTTGAATAGTTTGTCGTCCTAGTGATCAATTTTTCATCTTATTGACCAATTTGGCGTCTTATTGATCAGTTTGCTGTCGTCGTATCTGTCAATTTGTTGTCCTATTTACCAGTTTGTCTTCAAATTGATCAGCCTGTTGTTCTCCTCAGCACTGTCAGACAATGCGAAGGACGCCTTTGCTAAGCGTGACTGTGCATCTTTTCACGGTTCATGTTTGGTCATTCTCTCATGAATGCATAATGCGGCAGGCTATTCTCAGCTCTCCTATCGATCCCTGCCTTTTTTTTTTTTTTTTTTGCTGTGAAAAAACACAAAGCCCCTCTTGTTGATTTTTTCTGGTTTGAATGTTTCAGTTTTGTTTTATTATTTTGAATTTTTTTTACAAATCTATTTCGCGATAGTTGTTTTCGTAAATATAAATTTTCATGGGGCCGCAAAAATATATACAACGCAAAACATAAATTTCCATGTGGCTGTAAGAATATATAGAACACAAAACATAAATTTTCATGTGGTCGTATACGCTAAACATGAATTTAACCCTAAACATGAATACGTAAACAACGCTAAACATAAATTTTCGTGTGGCCGTAAAAGCATATCATCTCATTCACACCTTCGTCCTAAATATTGATCTGTCGCTTGAGTGTTACAAGCCTGTGAAGAGACCACGAGCTCTCATTCTGCTCTGTTCTAACCTTTCTTTCTTTGCATTTCCTTTGAAAGTTTTGAAATTTCATATAAGATAGGATTTTGGTTTTCATTTTTGTTAATTCATTGCGTTACATGAAGTATTGCTTTAAATTTATATCGTTATCTGTAAAAAGTTGTTAAACATGCTACTTAATATATTGAATAATACTAATAACAATATTTTTATTGTCGTGTGAGTAGCGAATTCATATATGTTAGGCTCCTACGACGATTTCTTTAGTAATTTTTTGGAATTCAAACAACTTTTCAAATTTTGTTCATATATCAACTTGTATATCTGGTAATAGTATGTTAGGTTTCACGCTCTGCTTAAAAAATCGTTTCTCGTTGTTTTAGAACTGTCATCTTTCCAGATTTTTTGAAAAATTTTCATTAAAATTGAATTTTATCCGAGTTATTGGAATAGTTAATGATGAAAAATAAGACATTCAAGTATTTACTGAACCGAGAACTATAGTTAGCTAAGGTTACGTGTAGGAGCATATAGCTATACTATCATATACACAGGAATTTAAATGCAAAGACGATACCACACAAATTCACCATATCTTTAGAAGAGAAAACGTATCATATACACATATTTTTTCTTGGGTCATGTACTCGTGTTCTCTTGCTTCCACTTGAGGGAGTGAGACGTATCCTGTCGACTCCTCTCGAACCTAATGGGCTTACGCTAGTAAATTATGTGCAATATTGTTGAGCATAGTAACATTTAACGTCTAAAGTTGTTTGTTTCATTCTAAACCGTTAGCTAGTGTGGTGATTGACGTTAATGTAAAAGGTCATCAGCATTTCAGCGTGAGATCCATGCTCGTTAGCATTCGATGGACATGAGAAAATTTGAAATTATTTTCAAGCTATTGTTTATTCATTTGTCTCAAAACTGTAACTATAAACGTCACAATCCTTCGGTCCACTTAGAAGTAACTGAGGGTTTCAAATAAGGTTAACGAGCAAGCCTGTGCTCATCGCCAGAAAACTAATTACTGCGAATCACTTTAGTTTTTTTTCCTGCTGTTGGCTTTTTTTCTTCATCGCGAAGAGAAGATAATTTTACTAGCACGTGATCAATACATAAAGTGTTTCACAAAGTACAGGCATATTAGGTACTAAAGCCTTCAAGTTTCAAGGCTAATGATGTCCAAGCAGAATGTATAAGTACAATATGAGCGAGAATATATGAAATGTTGAAGTTGTCGCTTGACCAAGTTCCATAAATAAACCGAATCAATTCATGTAAGGTGAAAAACGTGGTTTTGTGCGGTCGTATCACAGTCTGCCCCAGAATTTTCATCACGCAACAGTGAATTATCCAGAAGAGAAGGATATATCGGGCAGTGTTATCAGAAGCGTGGCAGATTGCCTTTTGTATTGAAAAAATATGACGAGCAATATTGAGCACTGCAGTTTCATTTAGATTGTAAGACGAGCATTTTAATAATACCTAGACACTAGCAATATTAAATTGTTCTGATGCACACTTTGATCAGGACCTACCTTCCGTATAATTATTAGAAGCTTTCATACGAAAAAAGCTGATGTTGATTGCTCCGTATATCTGCACGCTAGGTGTTGAATTACTCTTGATTCTTCTTTTCCTGTCCTTGGCATAGTACGTCTAATGTCTCCACATGAAGCTACGCGTAGAAGATTATAACACTTGAATATCATAACTTACTGATAACTGAAGGTAATCGCACTATTATTCACTGAATGGCGGTATTTAGTTTAAAATATTAATCCACAACTGATGGACCAAAATTATTTACACGTACCCAATTTATCGCAGCTTAAATAACTTTAACTGTTATTATGACTGCATTTTCATTCTGCTCTTCGTTCGAATTGTTAGGAAAGATTATCTGGAAGACTATATTGTTAAAAATGTTTGTACCTCAGCGCATTCATATCAGCGTTTTGTCATATTACGTGCTTCGATGTTCAGCGTAATTGACGTTATCTATTTACATTCGTGGTTAGACAAAGTCCCGCTCTTCATAGGCGTTCATTACTGATGCTCGATTATTGAAACGATGGTGAATACCGTGTATTTATATAGGGTTTAATTTCACTGCTCATGAGTTTGACTGTGCAGTTAGAAGATTGGTTGAGAAATTACGTAATTTACGTCAGAATACTCCCGAATCTTTCAAATATCTCCAACCTAACGCCGTTATTTCGAAATATGATAGGTGGAACGGAGAGTTTTTGAGACGAAACTAGACGTTGATATTTAACCGCTAGCCTGACCCGGCGTGCTCGGCACCGGCTGATTAAAGACGTGCTACGAAGACGCAGCTCTGTTGTGTCTGGCCCGGTTAAGGTTCTAGAACAATGTTAGCGAATTATACAAAGACCGAGCGCTCTGTGTAGATCGTAAGTTCTGTGTACATTGTAAGCTCTGTGAACATCGTAAGCTATGCGGAGATCGTAAGTTCTATAAAAATCACAAGATCTATTATATCATGATATATATGAAGATCTAAGTTATATGCAGATTCTATATTCAAGGTGATCTATGTTCAATATGATGATCAAAGTTCCATGATGATCGTATGTTTATGGAGACTTTATTTTTAAGTTCCATGGTGGATATAAGTCCCATAATATGATCGTAAACTCTAGTAATCGACGTTTCACTTTAAAAATCGCTATGCATGGTTGCAGGTGCAAGAACTGTTCCGTCACGGCACTCTGTACCAACCGTCGCCACCGTCAGTAGTGGCTGAGCACCTCAGGAGTCATCCTTCGGCCCCTAAGAGCGCCGCGGCATCGCGGTTCAGCGGTTACTACAAACCGGACGGGGTCTCGGTACCGGCGTCCGGTATAGTCACCAACCCGTCCGGCCGGCAGCCCCTCACAGACATGCACTCAACTGATAAGTATGTCACGTGAAAAATATAAATTTTCGTGATTTAAGCTGAGCACTTTGTATAATAAATAATATAATTAGAAAAAATTAATGATGTCGAAAGACTAATCCAACTCTAATTAACTTCTGTATTTTGTTAATTAGATCTGCGCAGGAGAGGCGTTTCTCTTAATCAGGCAACTGCGCAAGCTTGCATGAAAGTATTTTTGACTCATTGCATTTCTTTGTCCTATAGTGTAGCTATCTGCGAATGAAGAGTTTAAAAAAAGTAGTTGTAGATTGATTCAAAATCTTGATAATGATTTCTTAATCATTATCACGATTTAAATGTAATAATGTGGCCGTAAATGTAATAAGAATGAGCATGCCCATTCCACTCGTCTGACTCGACCTAATCCGTCTGAACACTGATATTTTGTTCTAAAAATGGCATTTAATTAGACTAATATGAAATATAAAACACCCCAGCACACTGATGCATTTACTGCAAATGGAGTCTATCGTGCACAATTCTCTAATTAATCGTATTCGGTTTCGTAAATCTAGTAACAAACAGGAATAATTTCTGAAATTTAAGTTTTTCTAATCAACTTCCCACTGAAGTAGAAAGAAATATCAGCAACGCAGACATTGCCTTCAGCAACTCAAATTAGTGAAATTAATTTATTGCGGTGTAAATTAAAACTTCTAATTTTTTACATAGTTATGTAGTTATTATCAGTGGTGTTTAAGGTACGGCAGTTGTACAGTAATGTATTCGTGTCAATGTTTTGCTTGCTTATCCCACCTAATCTGGATCAGTTATGTTGCTTTTTAATTCTTCCCTTTTATATCACGTGCTTTGCACATGGCCGAATAGAGCGCGGTCCTCGACACTTAATCTCACTGCGGTCAACCAGAAAGTGATACGGTGCACATTTTTCAGGATTGGATTTCTCGCGACCCGTTCATATAATTTTCATTTTTGTTGTGACTTTTCTTATCACAATTGATAAACGAGTGAAATATCGGAGAAATGGTTTCCTACTGTTCAAATTGGCTTATTATTTTTAAAATGATATCCCTACCAATCTACCAATATATAGAATACTTGTATACCTGATCTTTATTTTTTAAAGCAGTTCAAATGTCACTAGTTTTCGAATTATCGAAACTCATCGTGAATTTGAAACTCATCATGAAGATTGTTTGCGTAGCTGTAGTCCATTCATTTTCCGATGTTATTTACTTGATTAAAATTACATATGTTACTATCACCAGTAAACTTAAATAAATCTGAATATTTTTTCCTAAACTTGACTGAAAATTTCTTACATGTTCAGCATGGAAGAGGAGATCGCTCGTCGCAACCGCCGGCTCACCATCTTGTTCACGTGGTTAGGGGCTAAAGAAAAATACGCTAATAAATACATAGACTTGTGGACGCGCCGGGGCAACGCTGTACTGCACGTCACTTGCTCTATCAAGGATATGCTCATGCCCAAGACTGGTGCTGAGGTGAGTTAATTCCTTATTACTACTTACTAGTGTTATTCGTGCGTCGCTTTGTTAAAATCGGTAATTTAGTTAGCCAATCGTCATTCGTATGATGCTTTTAAAGAAGCATTGATTGTGTTGTCACAAATGTAATTTTACTTAGAAGCAGAACTCAATTTTTGTCACCAACCAAACTCTATGCTATTTTGGCATATGGTAATAACAATCTAAATGGGGTTCCGTAAATTTTATTGGTACCCCAAAAGAATTTTTCGCTATTTTCTAACTACAAATATATTGCAAAAATGTTACTTAGAGAAATAGAACGAGAAATACGTTGACTTTAAGCTAAGCAATAACGATTCATTGCATCCAACGCTCCAGAAAGTTATTTTACATTTGTTTGCAAATGATTTCAGGGTGAAGAATTTTTGCTCGTCAGTACTGATGAGATATTTGTTATATTATATATGAGCAGAATAATATATTGTTTTGTTATCGCTGTTAGATGCTCTTAGCCACAACGGAGATCAGAAATGACCAATTTGCAACCTTTGCTATCGAAGTCTTGTAGCCCGATATTCTAACTAATTCACTTTAAACTGATATTCTAACGAATAATTAACAAGGCAACAGTGAGTAAAGCTGGGATTATTGGCAGGTGACAGCAGCTCGCGTCAAGGAGCACATTTGTTCGCTGGGTGAGAGGAGCAGGGTTGTGGTGCACGGTCTCAGTGTGGGGGGATACATCACCCAACACGTCCTCAAAGACAACGATGTCGGCGTCACCAGCAAACTCTCGCATCAAATCTACGACTCCTTTAGTAAGTGCTTTGTGTTATTGTTACTATATCATGAATAAGAATTGACTGCAAATCATCTTGAAATGTCTGAAAATTTTTCATCAGTGACATCTTGTGAGAATAAATCGTCCGTGAGATTCGCGATCAAAGTTCCAAAAATTTACGCGCTGTTGTTCTGCCAGCTATATTCTGAGGAATTCAATCATGAATATAGGCAGAAATAGTCTGCGTTGCGATGTTTACATTCATTTTAAAAAATAATGTGACGCTAGTAAAGTCTTTCATGTACCTTTCGTTTACAGCAAACGTAGAGGGTTTACCTCAGGGTGTGGAGAACGCTGTACCTCCGCGCTTCAGCCAAATTGCCAAGAAGATAGGGCAGTGAGTATTGTACATTTTTATTCTATTGCCCTTTTGCTATTTTCCTTTCAGTGTACTTCGATATTGGAACTGATTAAGATGAGTTTCAAAAAACGGCACCAGCATCTTACCACTGTAACTTTTTTCTAATTCTTGGATCAACTCTGTCCACATTTGATCACTAAATTGGCCCTTGATCAACTTAAATATTTTGAATTTATGTTGCGTTTTTTATCGTTACCGCAAGTTGGGTACAGTGGAACTAAATTTCTTGTAAATCCTTAGTATATTGCGATTTGAAGTGATATTCAATGTCCAGACTCTACCAGCGCTACGCCGATATGAGCAGCTTCAACGAGTCGAGGAACTTCATTCTACAGGGCGAGGCGAACACTCCAGTCTTCTTCATGCACAGGTATTTGCTGGTGAACTAGTTTTGGTTTATTATTATTTTCTTAAAGCAGCAAGCAAATTCTGTCATATTAACATGAACATTCATAAATTGAATGTGGTTCACCGTCAATCATGGTATTTTAATTTGAAAATCAGTTCCAATGATGCGATGCTGGCCCAACAAGTTGCAATAACTTTGCAACTGCCAACGCAATGCTGGCCCCAATGAGCAATGGCTTTCCAACGGTCACGATTTTTGTATTTGATTACCCAGACGGATCCCTTTTCTGAGAGCCTTAACTGTATGTGTCCATTTGATAAACAATGCCTTGCTAACGGTCATGATATTTACATAGGTAACAATACCATCACTCATACGCCATCGCTTATCAATGCCGTGCCTATGGTTATGATATCCGAATTTTAATACCGTTAACTTAATGAAAAATAAATACCGTTTCCATTGACGCGCGCGGTCATAGCATGCCAGCGTCGTTGATTGCCTGGTCGACCGTGAGGCTCACATCATTATATTAGCAATATCTTGCCAACGGTGATGGTTTTTGCATTGTAATATCATTTGTAATGACTGCGTTGTTGACAGTTTGGCGGACCGAGTGGCTCAGTACGAAGTGACGCAGCCGTTGATCGCGGCGCTGCAGGCCAAGACGTCCGTGGACGTGTTCCTTGTGCCGGCAGAGGAACAGATTCCCCACGTGGCCCTCCTGAGGTGCATGGGGCCGCCTGCCTACATGGAGCTTATCGAAACTTTTCTGCGTGAGTTGATGCATGCGTTGAAAATTCATTTTATTCTAGATTTTTATTAGGAAATTTCACAGTTTTTTATATAAGTAAAGTTATACAGTGGGGGGAAATAAATATTCGTACACTTGAAAAATCGTATTTTAATGTATGTAAGTACACAAACTTAACAGGAAAAGTGATTTAAATTATGTATAGAGACGCATAGTATTAAATACTATGCGTCTCTATACATAATTTAAATCACTTTTCCTGTTAAGTTTGTGTACTTACATACATTAAAATACGATTTTTCAAGTGTACGAATATTTATTTCCCCCCACTGTATATTGACCATGATATACGAGTACATTGACAGTTTCTTAATAATCTCGTATGGCTTGGGTTTTTACATTTGATTTCATTAAGACAACAATAGCACTTTGTCTCGAATTTTTAATTTTTGTGCGAATCAGCCAGTTAACTGTAATCTTTCTTAATTGAACAAATGCTTAGCAAAATTAGTTATAATAAGCTTTTCTTTAGATCTGCAGATGTAGAGACTGCGTAAGCTGTTACAATCACCATTAATTATTTCCCTTCTTTTTCCAGACCACCACCCGGACCCTGTCTACTGAAGATTTTGTCTGATCTAAGAGTCTAAGTCGTATTCGTTTTGTCTGTTAATTATTGTTCAAAGTATAAGAAATTATTTAGTGTAATATTATTTTAGATGATGTGTCTACAGTCTACATTGTAGCCAGCACCCTTTGTCACCCATCGGTCGTAGAGGTAGAGAATTGGAGTCGCAGAGATGTTGCTAGAGTGCGCGCAGCGAGAGATCTTGGCTTTTGTGTTAGGGTTTCTGAGCTAAATTACAATTTAGTTGCGGGACTGTCAAAAACTACTTTAGTCATGAACTCTCGCTTAAATTAAAATTTAATTGCGGGACAGTCGAAAAGTACTTTAGTCATGAATTCTCGCTTGAATTGAAATTTAATTGCGGGACAGTCGAAAACTACTTTAGTGATGAATTCTCGCTTGAATTAAAATTCAATTGCCGCCGGACAGTATAAAAATACTTTAGTGATGAATTCTCGCTTGAAAACAAAACGACCTTAAGTCGAATGAGAAAGTCGTCAAGACATGATTAAATTTGCATATTTTGACTGACGACTGATATTATTTTACGTATAATTCATATGAGAATCGTGTTATGTTGATTATCGTAATACGTTTCAAGTAGATCCGAACGAGACTGTATGAAGGTAAAAGGTTTGTTAAAGACTTGTCGTCATCGAGTGGCGGATGGCTTTATTTGGGTGACCGGATGACGATACAAGATCAAGTTTTTCATGATCTTGACGAGTGATCTAGTTTCTTGAGGGTCTATACTCTATGATGTAACTCCAATTATGGACGAAGTTACTGCACGACTCCTGGTTACAACTTGAGTCTATGCAGACGATTGGATAAAATTATAATTTTTAATTCTTGTTAATTTCTTTGGTGCGTTTATAAAATGTATTATTTGCAATGAAATTACTGTGAAGTCTGCAAGTGGAATTATTTGCTAGAGATTGTTTATGTGTCACAGGTACTCGGATATTCATGGCATTTATGGAGTGCGGTCTAAATTCCAGCGTTTCTTTATACTTCTTCCGTATGACCATTGCCACCATTGTTCCTTCAGTTGTTTTCAACGGCTCATATTAACAATGGACGTTGTGTTTGCATAAATGAATGGCAGAGTAGACATGTATGCGCGCATCAGGCCAAATCTTCTGGCGCTTTGTGGACCAGCGAGTGATACCGTGCGTGACTGTCGACATAGCTGGCTGATCTCACAATAATACTATTTTCTTGGAAATATTAAAGCTACTGCGAAATCTTATTTCCTGTGACTTGACTCACCAACTGATGTTCGAGCATTGCTAACATTTTCCAATTCCCAACGTATATTACTTCAAAATTGCTTCAAATACTATAGGTTTACGTATTTTTCGCGATTTTAGTTTACCGTTATATATGGCCTACATTCAACTGCCTTGAATTTCAAATTGCGCACAACGGATCATTCTACGTCGGCAATATGTACATTACTCGTGAAATTCGTGCGGGATAATCACAGCGTGATGAATCAGTAACTTAACGTTTCTAACGCCTCGATTATTCCTACTGCTTTGTTTTAAAGCGTACGACGTGAAGTGATAGGAAGTGTATCAATTTAGATTAGACTAAACATGAAGGGCTGTTTTCTCAGATCATAAAATACGTGTCTTATTTTCCATTATATAGACAAATAAATGTAGTTGATCAGAAGTTTTTTTCCGTTATCCGCTGTGCTAAGATATATACACAACTAAGAATATTAAAAGCCTTGTAATGAATAATAACCCCTGTAAAAAATCTGAACTGCTTCAAGAAACTAGTTTATAAATTCCCATGTAATGAAGAAGGTTGTAGACTTTTTCAAAATATGAACTACATTGTTCTTACAAGCACGACCTTAAGCCGCCGACTCGCATGCAATTTACAATCTGGAGGACCTAAGAACCACATGCGGGAGGCTCACAATGAGACCATCACCCGAGTGTCATTGGAGGCCTGCACCAGCATAGTTATGCGGTGCCCTGACCTATTGAGACTGGCGATAGCTGAGGCTCTCATTATCAACAGCGAGTGTCTAGCTTTCAACCTCTGAACTACACGATTCGTCAGGATGCTGAAATTATTTTCAATGTAATTTTAAGCTTGGATTCCAAATTGTATCCACAAAATCTCTGATTTGTACTACTGTCATTTCCATAGTTTAATGTCAAATGTTGCAAAATCTTCACATGCTCGATAATGAAACTTATGTATTCGAAACTTCGCATTCCATTAAAATGTCATTTGGTAACCTACTTTTTGATCTCCCGACCCTAGCAAGAAATTTTGTTCGACTCGTTGAAAAAATTAATAGTTTATTAATGAAGACTATGCTCAGGCCTTTAATAAATCTCGCATAAATGTGTACGCCTTCGTCGGCCAATCTTTACACAAGTTGACTTTCTTCGTCCTGATGGAAATGGCTGACATTGCGGAACTGGCACGTGAAGTTTAATACGTTTAATTCACATTGAAGTTATTTTATACAGTAGTTCGGGTATCACATAGCTATAACCGCACGACGCAAGCGACAGATGGGGTGGATCTGGCGGACGCTCAGAACGAGAGAAGCGGAACCAATGATCACACTCTTCAGAGCCCTTGTAATACCTATCCTTGAATACTGCTGCCAGCTCTGGAGCCAGTTCAATTGCGGCAATTGGAAGGAATCCAACGAACCTTCACTTCCCGGATCAGAGGGATGGAGAAGTTGAACTACTGTGAGAGGTTGAAGCGACTGGGTCTGTACTCACTGCAGAGGAGACGGGGGAGGTATGTCATTCTGTACACATGAAAAATGATAACCGGAATGGCACAAAACTTCGAGAGCGAGACCTTCAGGATTGAGGCATATCATAACGAGAGAAATGGGAGACTGTGCAAGATCCCCCCACTATACGCTACAGATCTGCGGTCAGATTTCAATCCCTGCGGGAAGGATCACTTCCCGTGGCATGGCCAAGGCTGTTGAACGTCCTACCAAAGGATTAAGAGAGGGGGAGTTCACCTTGGAGACCTTCAAGAGACAACTGTACGTGTTCCTGGGCACAATCCTTGGTCGACCTCCGCTGCAACACTACCAGCGGCGAGAAGCAAGCAACAGCATCGTGCATCAGGTGGCCCAAATGAGGGATGCGCGATAGTCAGAGGTTGCGATCCATCGTGGCCTGGGACTGCTACGTCCGAAACAAATGCTAAGGATAAGTTAATGAGATCGAAATAACCAATTGCGTCTCCGTTAATTTTTCTGTGCGACTAATTTTCACTGCAATCCAAGAGGAGCAAAACTGCTATTCAATCTTCCTCCTGCCGTTCTCCTCAATCCTGAGAAATAAAGTCGACCATCATAACGCAACATATATAATAATTATTAAAAAGATAGCGATGTCGGAGAATGTGATAATTTATTTACAACATATTGCCGATTACAATGAATCTGGGTACATATATTCAATGAAGATAATATGATAAACAGATTTTCAGAGGCTTATTATTCAAATTTGACAAATTTATAAGAACAAAACTTAGTTACTACTTGATAACTGACAACCAAAGAAAATGGCTAGTGGATATACCTGGATTGCTAATAATTACCTGGATGAAAGCCGGCGTGCCTCTGCCGTACATGCGAAGGTCTTGCACCAGCAAACATGCTTCCGTTTACTCTTGTGATCGCTGCGACCGGTAATTATTATATATACTATGTTACATCGATAACTTCTTTGTTTATATTCCATCCGGGACGTCGAGGATGAGCGGTGAAAATATGGTATAGCAGCGATGAAAATTACTTCATTGACTTTGTTTTCTCAATTACGTAATTTTCGATCAGAGTAATTAAAACCTAAATTAGGGATAAAACCTTAAAACACGACAAAGCTACAGGCATGGAAATTACTGCCAGCAGGTAACTAAATTTTGATCACTAATATTTTGAACGGATTTGGTCTGCTGTTTGGCTCAAACGCTGCTACGTCGTTTTTTAGTTTATTGTAGCTAGGAAGCGTGCAAAAAAAAATAATTTCTGACGTGAGCAGCTAAGACAGGCTCCCCGTCGCTGGTCTAGGAGGCGTAAACTTGTTTGGGCGAATGAAGTGAAAATGAATTAGAGAATCGTTAATAATTCAGTGTATAAACACATATATAGATACTAGCAAAAATTTCTCGAAGTCACGTGATCATTTAACGCGACCTGACCACGTATACAAAAACCTATACAATATAAATTATTTAAAAAAAAGTAACACTGTTCAGACTAAAGGTCAAGTCAGAGCACACTTTCAAGATCTCGACAACTATTTAAGGGGCAGGCGCCGAACGGAAGCCGGCCGGAAAAATAGTATCTTAGGAGGCAGGAAAAGTTGAAGATGTGAAGCAACAATATCACCATCGTTATTCCACGATGAACTATTTTTAATGACAAGTAACCAATTGACTACTCGTAATGAACAAAATATAGAATGCAGTATTTGGCTAGACTATATGAATGGCAATGTTTGAGTAAAGGAATCACAGCTCTTAAGGTATCAGGACATCACAGAATCTGTATGAAAGTGAACAAAAATACTCAAGAGTTATAATCTGATCTAACAACACTGTAAAACGTTAACTTCAGATTATCTCTATATGAAACCACAGAACATTTTCTTCCCACAGGCAACAAAAAACAATAAAGGCATAAAGGAATATTGTATCTACCACACGTACATTAAAAATTTGCTCAGGCCCCGGACATGTAAGATAATGCGCATAAAATAAGTTACGAGGAACGGACATCGCAAATCAAGATGTTGCCATCAAGATGCGCTCTAGAATCCAAAGCCTCGAGTAAAATACATCCGACTGAGACATTATGACCTTATATTTCCAAGTACTGAAATGTAAAATTTCAGACTGATTTCATTTATATCACGCTGTCCATCGATGGGTAAATGCAGTGCTTGATATTGCACTTTCATAAAGCAGCCAGAAAATTATGAATCAAACTGTGTAAGGTAAAGAGATTGTTAAATTAAAAAATGCATTGGCAATGTTCATTGAATTTACTTCAACACAATACACCATTTACTGGCTTATATAAATGATTGTTATTATCCTCTTCCCTTCCATTATTTCTTCAGTCACAACTTGTACCCTTAGACTGGTAAAAACCTTCATTATATATAGGAATGCTATAGTATTAGCTAACATAGTATTACAATAAACGAAAAAAGTAATCACAATTTTAGTTTAAAAATTACATCATGCCTGTTAGTGAGCACAGTACCTCTGATTGCTTTATAATTGTGGAATAAAACAAACTTCTCAACATTAGCTTGTGTTCAGGATGAACACTTCTCAGAATACTAGCATGAACACTCATAAAAGGACTGCAACAATAAGTAAGATTGAAGCGGACAGCTCAAATTCTGAACTTGACCAGTTAGTGGTGCTAACTTTCGACTTATAAATGAAACAGTGATTTTGTAAGAGATTAAATTCAGTTACTCATTTAACTCAACGTGAAGTTGTAAATAACTTATTGTTAATGCACCTGTGGCGATTATCGAGTTAAAAATGTAATAAAAAGCCAAGAAAACCGTTTGAGTTTCACGATGATTTAACGTTTGTTATAGGCGTGACACGATTTACAATAAAAGATCAAAGAGTTTGTATGCAAAAAATAAATGTTAGTAAAATCCGTGACATAGTTTGTACTAGATGAATATAAAAATTAAATAGCTTCACACCAACTTACTAACCCTAAACCGACAAAGTGGAATTTTCAGTTTTCAAGATGATGCGTCTTTCATTATCTTGAAAATAATTGTCAGCCGAGCAGACAATTTGGTTAGCCAGTGTGAATTTTAGAGGTCGATCTTGCAGTAAAATATTTTCTCTCTATGATCAAATCAAGTTTTAATTATAAGAGTTGGGACTTTTTTAGCGCGTTCGAAACCGCAACAAGCTGTGAATGTTCTGCTATCTTAAGAATCGGCGACAGACCTACGGCCTACTAAACGCTGAAACCGTTATTATATTATATATATATATAGTCTTATAGTTGCGACTGTCCATGCTCATGGCAGCAGCCCTCAGTTCAGTAGATACCATTACTTATACCGATACTTTCCATACTCTTCTTTGCCATATAATGTTATATTGTCATATTATGTTAAATATCATATTGACATTATGTAATCTATGCATTTGTTTTCTTCCATGTCTCTGTCTAGCGTTTTTTCTGAGTTCAACCTTTCAATAGAAGGTTTTCCGTTCTTCTAACGAACCATTTTGATGGCGTTCAATCTTGGAAATATCATTTAAAGGATGCATGTATTTCAATAACAATAAGCGTCAAACATGTCAAACTTCCTCATGCGAAGATGGTCTGTCCTCAAGCGAGTGCCAATCACGTAATTACAAATGAATAATACTCATGCCGCCCCCCGATACCAACACCAATAAAAATAATTCTAATAATAACTATATTTACAATAATTCCAACTTAATCGGAAGTACACATCAGTAATATCACGAACTGGATGAAACTGAAATCAGTCAGAAAGTAATTTAGACAGAAGTATAGTTGAAAATTATTCTGCAGGTGAAATATAGCTGTGCTCGTATACATCAGTAATATCGCGAACTGGATGAAACTGAAATCAGTCAGTAATTTACATGAAAGTAAATCAGTCAGAAAGTAATTTAGACGTCAGAAAGTAATTTAGACAGAAGTATAGTTAAAAATTGTCCTGCAGGTGAAATATAGCTGTGCTCGGGGCTACCGCCTACAAGGGGCTGTAGAGACCACGTGCACGCAGGCGGGCGTATGGAGCTCTTCTGCCCCGCGCTGTGAACGCATCCAGTGTGAACCTCCCAACCCTCCTCCCAACGGCTACATTGTTCCCTCACCACAAGGTAAGCAAATATCGTTAAACAAAATCAAATTTACTAAAAATAAATATAACTCAATTTGTTTCTCATTTTTAAATGAAACAAGTGACGTTATTCTAAACTTGCTGCAAGCGCCAACATTGTCATCTAAAGTCCCTGCGTAATGTCCGCGCCGAGGGTATCAGCCAGGACTCGTCTGCGGGAGCGCACTTCGTCCCAGTCGACGTAGCAACCGTCGACGTGCCTGTGAACGTCGTCAGAGTCTGGGAAGCCCATACGTCCATGCGTCACGCGCAGGTTGTCCAAAGTCAGCACCGTGCCTGCAAACGTTTGTTCCAATACATTATCCTTTCCTCTGTGGCATAAAATATTCTTATAGACCAAAAGCTTCTTCTTTAAATTTCTAACAAAAGCTGAATTTGATTCGTGAAATTTGTCATACAAAGTGTGAAACACACTAGGCTAAAAATTCCTGACAAGGCGTCAGAGGTGCAAGTGTCTTCGCATATTAAAATACCAAATAAGAATGCGTTTAACGGACACAAGTTTAATAAACCCCGACTGACCAGGAGGCATCTTGAAGGTCCTACAGAAGCGGGGGTCGTAGAGGAGATCATGGAAGGCCTTGAGAGCAGCATACCAGGCGTGTACGTCCTCCACAGGGCAGGCGCTGAAGTAGGAGTCGCGCTGCGGCTGACTGAAGTTGATACGCCAGATGGTCTCGCCATCAGACTCCAAGCTGAGGAAAAAGATTCCACACATCAATGCAAGCAGAAAATATAGTACCGATTAAATGTACGTCTTTTCAGTGATTCTTGTCAGTGTGTCAAAATCATGCCTAAAGACCAGCGTTATTTATAACAACTAGGATATTTTAATGATTCTAAACATACATCATTCTTTAGGGCAAAGAACAAAAATCGATTTTCTGTATCATTAATAAATTTATGCATAAGGACGTCAGGTACGTTTATTTCTCGTTGCTACCGTTCTAATAATGTATACTGACCATTAACGAATTAGGTCGTAAGTCAATAGGAAACAGGTCTTCTTTGTTTCTAATTTCGCCCACTAATTACTGAATTCACTAATCAATCTTCAAACCATAAGGTTTAAATCAAGACTTCATTTCAGTCAAAACTGACCAGATGACGGGCATTTTCAGTGCCTTGAAGTACTGCCTGCCGTCTTCGTTGGCGTGGTCGACCCAGTCTACCGGCACTGACGACAACAGACGGAAGTGCTGCGGATGTTCTTCCCTCAACGTGTGCGCGACTTCTAGCGCATCGCTCACTTGTGATTCACCACCAACGCCTTCGTGCTGCCGTACGAAGTGTATGAACTGAACCTGGGGTAGAAATAATGATTATGTCGTAAAATTTGAAGGAACTAACGATAGTTTTTCACTAAATTCTACGCAAATTCCAATATAGGTCTCTATTTTATAGAAGTAAAGTAAAATACAAATTAAAGAACGACCTCAGAAAATAAATCCCAGGATATTTTTAACAAAATCACAGGAAGTGTCGGGTTTTCTACGTTTAATTAATATATTACGTAAACAAATTTGAAGGCAGGGTTATGGTGTTGCAAACTTAACTTGTGATTAAATAGCAAACGAAAAAGGAAGACACCAAGCCAAGGCTCAAAGAGTCAAGTTCAATTGAACATGAGAGTAAGAATTAGCAAGTTTTAAGAACATATTGATAATATGTGACAAAATCAACGTTGTGTTTCAACGGGATTTTTAATTGTGTTACTCACCCCGGGTTTATAGAAGTAATAAGGAAGGTCGAGATGAAGTGCCAGAGTTTTGTTGGAATAAGCCACGTTGCTGGGATCAGGCTTTACGATAACTGAGAAGTCTTCCCTGTAAACACGATAAGACGAGAGAACTAAAAAAATTTGAATTTGAGGAGGCCAAAGAATTTAAGGAAGAAACACTAAAAGCATGTCAACTCAAATTAATATTTTTGGTATAAATGAAATTGATCGTCGATTTCTTTCTTGCATGAGTTTTGAACTTGTTTTTTATTGTCAAAAGGCGAAACCACATTAGCAAATGTTATGAACGAAAACTGTGATGAAAATATAGATATTGTAAGTGTTGCTTTGATATTTCAAAGTATTTGCGTCCAATTCTAACCAGTTACGCAAGAAATTCCATCTACTTTAATTTTGATGTATTCATTGCCTGGATGAAACATCTTTACAACTAAATCTGAAAAAAAATTCCCGCATTTGGGGGATTTATTTTCTATTTCAAAAAATTGTCTAATACTGAAAAAATAAGTGGCTTACTAAAGCTGCAGCTCCTAAACTTCCATGTACTCTAGTGTAAAACTATTTTCACATAAATACGTTTTAAGGAAGTATATAATTGTATTCGTTTCAAGCGGCATAACAAAGAAACACAGTCAATATTGATAATTTATTTTGAACACCATCCATTCAGTTAAATTCAAGTACTAAACTTTAGGCTAAGAAATGTGATAATGATTACTGATAATGACTTGTAACCTACGACTATTTAGTAAAATTTAATTATTAAACTTTGTGCTGAACTCCCTCACCCATAGTGTGTCCTTTTGACGAATGCGACGCGTTCAGCCAGCTCCCTGATCCGCCCCTGCTGCTGGGGGGCGCTCTTCATCACCACCAGCCCGTAGGTCTCCAGCAGCAGCAGCCACTGCAGCAGCGATGCGTCGCTCTGCATTACCTCTTCCCAGTTCGCTTCCGGCAGCTGCGGTGGCCAAAACTTGCGCGGTATTCTGTGCAAACCAAAGCATGTTTATAATATAAAGTTTCATAACAGTGAACTATTCCAAAACAGTGAACTATTCACACAGTGAATAGTTCACGGTGAACTATTCACGGGCCAAAAGATAATTCTAGCAAACAAACTTGATTCAGATTGGTTGATAAATAATCTCTGGAACGAACATCGTACGGGAAAACCGTCGTGATGTAATTCCCAGAACCCGAACGCACAAGGTACACACCTGCATTTCAATTGCATGCCAGTAAATGTAGAGAAAATTAATTATAAAAACCAGCAAAAATATTCCGAAACAATTTTCAACTAACACAGAAAAAACTATCCACTTCCAAAACACTACATTAACGGCGATCCAAACCATCTGAATATTAAAATCAGCATTTATATAAATAACGCGATCTATTCTATATACAGGATCCTTAAAAAAACTCCCTGATTTCAATAAGCTTTTGCAAAATCATACGACACCTACAGAAAAATTATTTTTATTTGTGAATAGCTTATTTGATGCCATTTTATATCACATAGTACACTTTACTTGGTTTTGAAAATTATTTTCGATAAATGATGTCCCTCATTGTTAAGACATTCACGAAGTCTTTCACTGAAGTTGCCCATAGTGGCCGACATGAGAGTGTTCCTGATGCGAAAACGATTAGACTGTGGGTGTCCAACTTTAAAGAAACAGGGTCAGCACTAAAAGGCAGGAAGTGGCAGCCACGTCAAGCCATTCCAAGGGAAGTTACACGAAGAACTATGGCAACTTCAGGGAAAAACTACGTGAATGTCTTAACAAAGGGGGACATCATTTATCGAACATAATTTTCAAAACCAAGTAAAGTGTACTAAGTGATGTAAAATGGCATCAAATAAGCTATTCACAAATAAAAATAATTTTTCTGTATGAGTCGTATGATTTTTGCAAAAGCCTATTGAAATCCGGGAGTTTTTTTTTGAAGGACCCTGTACTATCAGTCGGTCCAAACTATTGGAAAATTAAAGTCAGCATTTTTATAAATAACGAGATCTATTATATATACTATCAGTTGGTCCAAACCATGTGAAAATTAAAGTCAGCATTTTTATAAATAACGCGATCTATTATATATATTATCAGTTGGTCCAAACCATGTGAAAATTAAATTCAGCATTTTTATAAATAATGCTATTCATTATACGGTATATATTATTAGTCGGTAAACCAAATGAAAATTAAATTCAGAATTTTTATAAATAACGCGATTTATTACATATACTATCAGTCGGTCTAAACCACATGAAAATTAAATTAAGCATTTTTATAAATAACGCGATCTATTATATATACTATCAGTCGATCCATATCACTGGTAAACTAAATACAGAATTTTAATAAATAACGCGATCTATTATATATATATTATCAGCCGGTGACGCAGAACGCCTCACTTGTGCACCAGATCGCGCGCGCGCCGCTGCTCCGCCTGGAAAGCTCTCACGTGCAGCCACGGCGCCTCGTGGCGGGAACTGTGTCCGTCTGTCCAGTGTATCGAGAGCGTGAACCCGTCCTCTGTTAACTAGGGTTAAACAAAACTAATTAACTGTTAAATATTGATACATATTTAACTGAAAATAAAAAATGGGGAAGCATGCATGAAATGGATATTCAGGTCACGAATATTGACGTTCTTTCATTCGAGGTTTAGAGGAAAGCTTGAGCATGATAAAATCCTACACGTGTTCCAAGACACTGCTCCTGAGACAAGCTATAAAAAATGATACCGAGAGATGGAGATATTTGATAATAAAATCTTCATGAAACCAACATATCAAGAAAAATTAAAGATGGCTAACGGGATGCATCGGTAACAAGTAATTTCTGTCTAAATACAAATTACGGAAACAACAACTACTAGTTTTTGTGGGCCTTTATAATAATTTAATAATACTAATAATAGCGGTCTCAGCGTTCAGTAGGCCGGTCGCCGATTCTTAACATCGCAGAACATTCACAGCATTTTGCAGTCTCTAACACGCAACTCACTGCTACAATTCTGCTATGCTTAACAGCCCGGCCTCCTTGCCGATTCTGACCAGAAACTGGCGCACAGAGCTGGGATCGAACCCGCGCCTCTCTGCGCCAATCTTGGTACTCTGAACTTGAATCACTGGGCCACCCTGCCATAATCCGATGAACTGACGATGAATAATTTAAAATCCGATGAACTTTAACATGTCTCAGCAAGCGACCACCAAATTATAAGAAAAGTATTCTCCAGAAGTCATTAATAAAAATTCGTATAGTTCATTATTAAAGTGATTAACGATCACCTCGAAACTTTTGGGTGCAACATTGAGGTCAAGATCTTGAAGAAAGGACGTTCTGCTAAGAGACACGGGGTGGAAGCACTGGTCGCACTGGCAGTTGTCCCGCAACCACAGCCAGGGGTAGATGCTGCGTCCTCCTTCTGCCCACTCCACCTGAGTTGGTTTGTTTACTTGCAATTTAGCTAATTTGCCTAAAGATTGATATTTTATTTAAGTTTCATGAAGCTATCAATGCATGACTGTGTCGTTAGATTCCTAGTAAAACTGCTCGAAAGTGATGTGATAACAGTAGCGAAATGTATGAAATTTTTAAAACAAAATGTTTAGTACTTTTTATTTGATTTTTTAGCTTAAATGCTTTTTTTTATTTTCATTATTTTTTATGAATGATGGGACGTCCGATGAATGATTTTAGTTATTAATAAACGATGATTTATATGAATTTTAATAATGGAAGACCCCTTTCTGACCTCTAGCATCTTTTGCTCGGGAAGGCTGGAGACGCGTGCAAGTTTCACTTCGTGGGAGAACTTAGCCCGAAGATCGGAGCATCGTCGTACGGGCGTCGTGACGTGGTGACTTATTAAAGAGCAACACGTCACATGTTCCGACGCTGCGGCACTGAGACGTGTGAGGGGGTGAGGCTCCGACGTGACACTACTGAGACGAACTACTGGCAGGACGTGGCTGGCTAACCTTGAAAAGGAACGTTATATAAATAATTTTAGAATTATATACAATTGAACACTCGCAATAAAGTATGATCAATATTTTTAAAAATGATTAAGTACGAATAAATGAGATCTAGGACAAGAAGGACGAACTTACACTAATACTTGATTAAATTTGAGAGCAAGCGCAAATAAAGATAATTGAAAAAAAATTTAATATAGAATTCATAAAAGCACTTGAATACTGCATTTCATTTTGAAAATTCGGTTGCAGAAGGTTGAAACTCACCTTGGATGATGAAGTGGAACGATGGGCAGATGTTGTGCTTGCGTGAGCGCACTGCGCAGATGAACAGCGATGCGGTGCATGACTAACAACTATCAATATCTCCGTTTCAAGATGCGATATGGAATCCTTCATAAATTTGTGAGATAATCGGATTCAATTAACAAAAAGACCACAAAATTTAGGAAAGGATCATTAAAAAATTGAAATAATTAAGTGCAGAGATTTAAGTAATTGCTGAATGATAATATTTTTACGAACAACTGAAAACTTTAAATGAAAAGTGTTATCGTTCATTTTTCGATCGCGTGTGAAGTGAATTCAGTGACCAAAAAAGACTTCACGACCGGATGGTGACAGACTATACACACTGATAGGCGCTCAGATCGCAATTTGATTATTATTCATATTCAGTTAATACTTTCAACAACTATGCCAACCTAATCGCTTTCAAGTCCTAAGAATTGTGGCAGGCAAAGTAAGCCTCTCAGACTAGTAGTAGGTACTAGTCGTACAAAAAAATGACTGTTTCACTTATTAATGAGTTAATAGCTGAAATAGCTGAAGTTCCATGGTAAGTGATTAGCATTAAATAACACTTCAAGAGTATCAGAAAAATGTTTCGTCGAAAGACAACTTTAAAACCTAAAATCTTCCATCTATACAATAGGCCTACATTGTATACAAATTTGATGAGATCAAAATCGAAGTGTCCGAGACCTAGAAATCTTTCAAAGGTCGTTCCATGGCAATTCAATGAACAAAATGAAGTTTGGCTTTAACTCGATAGGTACTGTTGCTGTGAAAATACAATTTTTATTGCTTGCAGTAGTCTTTGAGATTGCCTTCTCTTATCTTCCTTGTTATCTATGCAAGAAGTAATGCAGATTTGACGATCAAAAGCACATACAACCTCACTCATTCATCGGTAAACGTCCACTGGACGGCCTGGACCCACGGTGACCCACTGCTGACTTATCGTAGACGCTTGATTCGTCATCAACTATCGCGGCTACGCTGCTGGTGGATTATTTTGAATGCGATCGAAAGATATTAAAACTATCGTTTCAACTCAAATTCATTACTTCCAGGTGTCTTTTTTTATCCTTATATTCTAGAATGAATTCACATGTCATCTCATTAGTTCGAATCTTTCAGCGAAATGGACTATTCGCATGCGGGAAATTATTGATATATCTCCAAAATCTCCAGTTCCAAATATCCTTTTTCCAGCTTACTCAAGTGTGGATTGAGCGCCTTAAATACAAAAACGTTTGCTCGAGTGTAAAAAAGTTACTATAAAAAACCTCCTGAGAACTAATTAATTGATGGAAATGAAATTATATTGCGCTTTAACAAATGAACAAATGAAAAAAAGTAAATGTCCGGAGATGTGAGGCGGCTGACGGTAAAGATGCGCTGGAAGTTTGTGAGGTCCGAAGTCCAGTAAAACCTGTTCTAGAGCTCGACTTCTCGTGCCTAAAATAATCTTCTATGTACGTCCTTATATACTTGCTCTAACTGCGCATCATAATTATTGATAATGAAATTATGTATAATAAATATTTCGCACCAGTCTTAGCACGTTGTTTAGACCGTATTTGATAAATGTTTATGATTTTATGATCACAATTATTACAATGCATGTGAATTAAAATTTAACAATGTTAGTAGTTTCATGGTAGAGATAAATGCGAGGTATTCAGACTGGAATTTGTATAATGCTTGTTATAAAGAAAAATAATTTTATTTATAATAAGCATAAGATAATTTTTTCATACAGTACCTATGCAATTCAAGATTTTGATTCGATGCCTTCAGGCTTATAATTTGAATATTAGGTAATTTAATCATAAAGGATATGAATATTCAGATATTGAGAATTCGATATCGGTGAAATGTATGTTAAATATTTGAAATTACTTCACCCAGTTGAAGTTAGTGCTCTTATGACGTGCAATCCCTTCATGCGTCCAAATTACTTATTTTTTGGGTGTTAGCGACATTAGATCAAACGCGCACCTATTTGGAAGAGTAATTTGTTGGTACGAATATATTGGACAGGACCATCGGAAGAAAATTATAGCCTTAGCTGTGTCAGAATAGAATAGAAGTGTCGGCACTGAAGAATGACCTGTTGCCGATTCTTGAACTTTCCGTGACTGTTATGATTATTCGTAAAAAGTGTAATCATGAATGTCATTCATAGACCTTACTTGATCTGCAAGCGTTAGAAATGATGGCAACTCTAAAATGCGTCATTATTATTCGGGTTACACCTCTTATTTTATTGTGTATATAATTCATCTTGAGTCTTCAGTGTAATGTTCCAATTGTCAATAGCCATTAATTTTGTGTTGAGAATATTACGGGCACTCAGTCATGACTCTGCAGTAAAATAGATCTAAATAACTCGTTTTCCATTTCTAATTTGATTTTTGTAGTTTTAAATTACAACGCAAGCACATATTCTGTCGCATACATACATATGAAAATTTTAATTTAATTAATAAGAACTTGTAGAAAAAATCTACAATTAGATGGGGTAGATTTGACGTGATTTTACAACAGCGAGCATATTCCTTTGAGCTTAGGCAGTTCATTCAAGCTTTAATTCTATCACATTGCATTTGGATTTATTGAGGAAACTGAAACAGAATTGTACTCTTTTCTTTTCTAAGGAAAACTTTTACTGGAATGAGCTTTGTCACAACAATGAACACAGGACGTTATATATATTTATATATAATTATAGATACAGAAGATGGTGGTGTTTTAAAGGAGATGCAATTTCACCGTACAAAGATGGGGAAGTTTATAGATGCATGGCTCAAGTTAGGAACACAACAAAAATCTGGGATGACCGAAACATTTAGTCTTCGTAAAACAAGAATATTAAAAATTATCATCAATTTAACATGAGGACCACATTCATGCATATACAACATGCAAAATTCATTTAGGAAACATGCTCCACACTTTGTAATTTAGTGTCACAGCATATTTAAATAGCTTGAATCCGAATGAAAAACTATCCATGACCTCGGTTGAATATATCAGTAGTTAAGTTGATCTAAACGCTTCATAAACGTGACGGATTCTTCTACTTAAACAGATGTACAATTTGAAAGTATAAAAACTAGGAGCTAAACTTAAAACAAATATTCATAGATGGCAATAGCTTAGTTCTTAATGCGATAACTATCGTAACACAAACTCCAGATTTAGTCGAAAGTGTGAAACATCTTAACTCATTATATGATTGTCAATATCGTGAACATGTCACCGCATGGTTGGGGTTCTTAGACCGGCGTAAAAAAATTATTAACTGTTCAATAGTTTTATACGATAAAGCCTCAATTCGTCTAAAACGAAACTAAAAATAATATATCAGTGGGTTTGCTGTGCGTTTGTATGGAAGCTCGAACATCAACAATATCATCACGAAAACATGTTGATTGATGGCTGTGTTTAGGGAATGACATTTGATAATCTTCACAATAAACATAATGTAGTATAATTATAAAGAGAGAAATGCATAAGGAGCAAAGCGCACGGAATTCAAATACATAGAGTTTTCATGCATGTTCTGAACACACCTATGTATAAATATATAATGCAGTTATACACAATAGAGATCAGGTTTACATTTACGTATAGAACATTAAAAAGTAGTCAACAGGTCAAACAATGTACATTGATCTACAAATCTTTACATAAGAACACGCTAGAAATGGAATAATTCTGCAACACACACACACATAAATTCACACAAGATATACAATAATCTACACTTTGCCTAAAAACAAACTATGGGTTAATTTGGTTCAGGATAATCAAGTTTCTAAGTCGGACGAAAATATTTTCCTTTATTGGGTAGACTCTGCCTCGTCGCAGCGTCAACCCCATTGTCAAATTGATAGTGTTTAACCTTAATCAAACATAGGGACCCTCTTTCAAACTTCTAAATAGCTAGCAATTTTACCAAAATTCATTAATCAGTGTTAGGTATAGAAATAGATGTGCATTATGAGAGAAGGAGAGAAATGAATTTACTTGAAATGCTTAAAAATGCATTAGGTTTCAGTATACACCATCGTACTCATTTAATTGTATTTTTAATGAGAAGTATGCCACAAATTAAAGATGCATAATGCATACTAGATAGCTCGTGAATCGTTCGTCATCAAAGAAAATTTCACCGCTGTTGAATTGATCAGAAAGCTAATCAAAGATTGGCAAGAATCTTTCCCGAATGGCATGAGCTGTAATGCTATATATCGGCAGTGCAGATTATTAGGTTACGAAACCGAATTTATGCACACCGTTGCCGACAATACTTTTAATTAATTAAGTACAAAACTTCCTATTCTGTTACAATGGCGTTCCCTAGCGCGCTTTTGCAGAACTTCCACAATAAAATTATATCTTAGCTAAACTGAAAGTTTTTGCATTTAAGTAGCCGATCTTATAACAAAAAGTTTGATTCAAGTTTATGTGTGAATAATGATCGCAAATTATCACGTAAGTAGGAGCAAAAGTTATAGGCAACTATCAAATAACTAACGAGTAAGTAAATCAAGCACAAATATTTTGCCTTGAGTATTGACCATCGTTTGAAAATAAATAAATCGACAAAATAACGTTCATTTTTTATGAGGGCATTCTTTCTCTAATGAACATTAGTCACCTGACTAAAATAACTCACTGAGTAGGTTCATGCACATTTTATTAATAAATTGAAAGTTTAGTACACCAATGGGAATGTTCAAGGGTTCATCAGAGCTAGGAAGGTTATCGATCATACACATCGAAAATTCTAAGCAAAGAACACATGGTCATAAATACATGGATGTATAAACAGCTACAACATCGCTTATCTATGTGTACGTATCGTAGATTCTTAGAACATCAACGTTAGGAAAAACATTAAATAAATCTGTCCAGGTAATAAGAATAATTTTTATTGTATAAGAATGAAGATGGCATCAAAAGCTTAAATTACACACAAATTATCTCAATAGGGCGAAAGAATATCTCCTCATCTAATAAGAAGCATAAGTAGGTGACATTTGTCGGCTCATTCTACACAGCTTTGACTCTATGACACATCTCAGTGTACAAGCCTCTAAATTCTCATGGTTAGTCACCGTACAAGTATATAGTTGAACAATCTACAAAACAATTCTAACTACTCGGAAGATTAGGCCATTCATAGTAAGCGTAAGGACAATCCTCAAGTTTATTCCTGCAGCATGTAAAAG